AGCCATCACTCCTTCTGCCCCGTCCTTCACCTCCTCCCCATCCTCCACTGGTCCAGGCTCCACTCTGGGAGGGACTCTAAGGTGCAACCCAAGCTACTCATGGCTCAGTTTTGGGTCAGATCCCCTCGTACAAGTGTCCCAGCTGATGCTTAGGGCTTCCTTGTTCTCTGGCTTTATGAGAAGATGAATCATCCTTTTGCACAACCAAGCTGACCCCAAGCCCTCTCCAGGGGACTTAGCTAAGAGAGGTGGTTTAAAGATACCTGTTTGGACATGCCTTCTGTGACCCCCTAGGTCACAGAACATTGCTCATTTCATCCTAAATAACTTATGACTCATCTCTTGTTTCTAAACTCCATATTTTAAATGCCTCCACAGGAAGAAGGGTTTCTGTTTTACCATCATCAAATTATTGTGGGGAGATCACTGTCCTTGGAGCCAAATATTATCTGTGGCAGGCTGTTTAAAAGACAGCCATAAAATGAGCTCCCAGCCCACACATACTTCTGAATCTTACCACTTCCCTGTAAAGAGGTGGAGGCTAGCTACCTCTCCTTCAGAGTGATCAGGCCATTATTAGCTTATAATGGAATGGACGGAAGTAACACTGAGTGATTTCTGAGGTTTGATCAATAAAAGAAAATGACTCATCTGCCTTATTTGCTGGATACTAGCTGTTAACACCTTCATGTGCCACATAGCAGTTTGACAACCCTGAGGCTTTCATGCTCTTAAGAAGTCTCACAGCCTGTGCAGAAAGACTCCGTATGTGCCCTGAGCATACACGAGAAGTGCCTTGTTATGCCCAATGTCCAAATCCCCGAGCGGAAAGACAGAAGGCCTCCAAGACAATGCAACTCGCAAAAAGGGAAGTTTATTGCTGACTCGAGTCAGGGCTCCTGCCGCATCCAACGCAGTGGTGCGGGGTCAGAGAGCCCCGAGCCTAAGCTGTTACACAAATTTATAGGGTGAGCATAAGCAGTTGGTAGCTGGCTTAAGCGGAATGGTTACATGTTTGCAAAGCAATTTTATTGGTCCAAACTTTCTCAGGCTTTTTTCAAACTTGGGCGTTCGAGGGCTTTTCAGCTTTCCCCTGATAGGTTCCCTTTTTCTTACTGGGCGCATGTTGATTGGCTGGCTCCAGGTGGCCTGATGGGGGTAGGGAATCTTACCATTTCAGGGGAAACCGAAACTTAGGTCCGGCCGCCTGTCATGGTGTTAGATCATGGTGTTAGCCCTGGCAGCTTCACATGCCTATCCTCAGCTCTTCCAGCTGTTGCCAAAATTTAATTGGAATCTTAAGAACAGCAGCCAGGCCAGCATTGCCCAGTTGAAGGTTTCTGGTATCTCTTTTATAAGAACAGTAATCCTATAGGATCAGGGATACCCTATGATATCACTTGGTAGTGGGGTAAGCTGTGGTTGTAGGGGTGGATGAGTGGAAAACCCTCTACTTTCTACTCAATTTTGCTGTGAACTGAGAACTAAAAAAATATTCTACATATTTAAAAGCAGCAGCAACCCTGACACCACTCCCCATTGCCTTGTTCATTCCGGTTGCTGACTTCTCAGAAGCAAGATATTATGACCAGTCTCACACGAAAACAAAAGCAACAAGCATCACTTCATGAAAATGCTTTTTATTTCCTTTCCCCAAAAGGTAGTCTAAATGTTTTCAGCTTCTTGAAGAGACTCACATTACTCTTCCTCTAAACCAGGTTATTGAAAACACACTCCCTGATAAAGTCCCTTAACATGGAGCCCTATGTTGTAGCTGCTTTTCTATTAGAAGTACTTGTGGTGGAGGGAGGCAGGAAGAGTAAAGACAGGCCCATGAACTACCAGGGTTGCTAACAGATTGCTGATTTGATCCATTCCATTCATTTCAAAATGAGCTAAGAACCAAAGAGCTTTCTATTATGATGACACCGTTTGCTTTCACACTAGAATTTTGAAATGGTTTTATGAAAGAGTATTCCAGTAGAACTCTTTGTCCTCAAACACATTTGTTTACTTGGGATGGAAGTGGAAGAGAATGCCAGGAGAAAATGACTTTTTAGGTATGGAAGATTATCTATATGAGCATATAAAAATATATGCCAATGTATAGTTAATATATAGTTGGAAATATTTGCATGACCAGATGTATCTTTCTGGCTTCATTCTTCCTATGCCCTTCATTTAGCATTTGAGAAAAATTACACAAAAGGGAAAAAAGTCAGTTTCCTATGATTCGTGTTATGTATTGAAACCTGTACTCTGTTTATTGGGATTGTTTACATGCAGAATTAAGTCCTATCCTAGGAAACAGTCATAAATTTTTAGACCTTCTCTCATCTGGACAAAGAAGGTTATGGGGTGGTTGGAGGGCAGAGCTGTGTTCAGACCCATGCTTACTGAGTTTTGTGTTCTGATGTACATGTATATATCTGTCCATCTGTTTGACATGGATACCAGGTTTGGACTCTGCTAAACTCTTTAGGGCATCCCCATGTGATCTTTGGGTAGCTGTGGGAATTCTTGAAAATTTCCAAAGAAATGGCTCCTTGGGCTGTAATCTCCATTAGTTCTAAAAGAGAATACACAGTGGATAATCCTCAGATCTAAACTCTGCGGCTCATGTTTTGGTAACCATACTTGAATGTGAATTAAATATCAAGCAGTGTGATGGGTACAGTGTTTAACATGAACTGGGCCTTCACCAGGAACCTCAAGCCTGAGCCTTTGCTCTGTGCAGACCTTCTCTCTGAGGTCAGTGCAAAGGGTCTCCTGCAACCAGATGCTCATCTGTGGGTACAGGATGGTGGAAAAGCCAGCCTGGCTCCCCAGCCCCTGTCTTCTCTTCCCTAACACTCTACACTGAGATTAACTGACCATTCTGCATCAGAATTCAGGAAACCCCTAGGAGTTGTATGATCAAGAGATGTTGAACTGGCTCCGTTTCGCTCACCAGCCCCGTCACCTTGAAACAACAGTCAGCAGTCCGTCTCAAAAGTCAATAGGACACAGCTTTTTGCAGTGGCTGCTGTGAGCGTTTTTATTCTGAAGTCCTGTTGCCAGCATTCACAACCCATGAATGGGAATATAATGGAGATGAAAAACAGTGTAATGTGTGGTGGTTTGTATCGGAACGAGGGCAGTGAGAATAAGAAATGGCACACACTCGCCTCCGAGGGCTTGTCTGTGGGGGGCAAGCCAGCATGTTCTCTTTCAAGGGCAAAGATAAGGGGCCAGCTGTTGAGAAGAGAAAGAATGGGGAGTTGAAGAAAAGATTTTAAATTTAAAAAGATAGATTCAAAGAAGGTCTGCTCAGCTATTGGAGAAATACATGACCTGTGGAGTGAAAGAGAAGGACCCACAGCCTCCTTGCTCCATTTCTAGCTTTCTTTTATCAGCAAGAAATCATTTCTTCTCCCCAAACACTTCTGCACTAAAATCAAGTTTTCATTCTTATTGGCCATGGGGAGAGCAACATCTTTGATCTTCAACTTACTGAAGCAGCTGCCTACTGTTCTACTTCAAAGTCGCTTTTATGACTTTAGGGTATTTTAATAAAGAGTTCTCCAAAACCCAGTTGTGTATTATCTGGAATAGTAAGGAGCAATGTAGCTTATCAGGTGACACAATGCTGGAATCATAAGGAAACTTCTATGAGGGAATAAAACAGCCATAAGGGTTAGGGAACTGATTTTAAACATTTATACTGGCTTTGTAATGCTACATGCTCCTGTATTTTGTCTTTTCTGTTTATCCTCACTTCTGCTAAAGGGTCTCCTGCAACCAGATGCTCATCTGTGGGTACAGGATGGTGGAAAAGCCAGCCTGGCTCCCCAGCCCCTGTCTTCTCTTCCCTAACACTCTACACTGAGATTAACTGACCATTCTGCATCAGAATTCAGGAAACCCCTAGGAGTTGTATGATCAAGAGATGTTGAACTGGCTCCGTTTCGCTCACCAGCCCCGTCACCTTGAAACAACAGTCAGCAGTCCGTCTCAAAAGTCAATAGGACACAGCTTTTTGCAGTGGCTGCTGTGAGCGTTTTTATTCTGAAGTCCTGTTGCCAGCATTCACAACCCATGAATGGGAATATAATGGAGATGAAAAACAGTGTAATGTGTGGTGGTTTGTATCGGAACGAGGGCAGTGAGAATAAGAAATGGCACACACTCGCCTCCGAGGGCTTGTCTGTGGGGGGCAAGCCAGCATGTTCTCTTTCAAGGGCAAAGATAAGGGGCCAGCTGTTGAGAAGAGAAAGAATGGGGAGTTGAAGAAAAGATTTTAAATTTAAAAAGATAGATTCAAAGAAGGTCTGCTCAGCTATTGGAGAAATACATGACCTGTGGAGTGAAAGAGAAGGACCCACAGCCTCCTTGCTCCATTTCTAGCTTTCTTTTATCAGCAAGAAATCATTTCTTCTCCCCAAACACTTCTGCACTAAAATCAAGTTTTCATTCTTATTGGCCATGGGGAGAGCAACATCTTTGATCTTCAACTTACTGAAGCAGCTGCCTACTGTTCTACTTCAAAGTCGCTTTTATGACTTTAGGGTATTTTAATAAAGAGTTCTCCAAAACCCAGTTGTGTATTATCTGGAATAGTAAGGAGCAATGTAGCTTATCAGGTGACACAATGCTGGAATCATAAGGAAACTTCTATGAGGGAATAAAACAGCCATAAGGGTTAGGGAACTGATTTTAAACATTTATACTGGCTTTGTAATGCTACATGCTCCTGTATTTTGTCTTTTCTGTTTATCCTCACTTCTGCTACCTGGAAATCAAAGTTACACTCTCAAAGGAGGATAAAGAGTGGGTTTGAAAGCTTCCATCGCAAACAACATGTGAAAACTACTGCTTAGAAAAACCTCCCTTTCTCTGTTGTTCTTTAGTCGCTAAGTCGTGTCCAACTCCTTGCGACCCCATGGACTGTAGCCCACCAGGCTCCTCTGTTTATGGGCTTTTCCAGGCAAGAATACTGGAATGGGTTGTCATTTCCTTCTCCAGGGGATCTTCCAGACCCAGGGTTCAAACCTGCGTCTCCTGCATTGGCAGGTGGATTCTTCGCCACAGAGCCACTCTAACATGTATGAAATGTCCACAGCAAGGTGGAAGCTCAGTGTGGTAGAAAGTCAAGAAGGGGTCTCTTGTTAACTATGGAACACAGTTCACAAACAGGTCGTCAATCCATGTATCCTGAACTACATGGGAAACTGCAGATTGTTTCTTCACCTGGGTACAGGGGAGAAGGCATTTCATTAGGCATCAAAATAGGAAGATACATACAGTCTTCATCTTAACAATGTTCTTATAGGTGAGTAACATTTTGACTAAGTCTTAGAAGAAAGAAAGAGAAAATATTTTCTGAGAGAAATTCATGGTAGGAAAATAAAGTCTAAGCTGTGAAACATTTAAACCAACTTAAAAAATTTCACAACAGATATGAAATTCAAGAAATACAGAGAAGGACTCTTTTTCCATACAAGTTATCACAGATTACTCGGTGCTATTCAGGAGGTTCTCATTGATTATCTGTTTTATATACAGTAGTGTGTATATGTTAATCCCCAAAAGTAATCTGAGAAAGAACAGATATATGTAGATGTATAACCAAATCACTTTGCTGTACACTGAAACTAAGGACATTGTACATTAACTATGTTGCTGTTGTTCAGTCGCTAAGTCGTGCCTGACTCTCTGCAGCCCCACAGACTGCAGCATGCCAGGCTCCCCTGTCCCTCAGTATCTCCTGGAGTTTGTTCAAGTTCATGTCCATCGAGTCGGTGATGCCATCCAACCCTTGCTCTGCTGCCCTCTTTTCCTTTAGCCTTCAATCTTTCCCAGCATCGGGGTCTTTTCCAGTGAGTCGTCTCTTCCCATCAGGTGGCCAGAGTATTGGAGGGTCAGCTTTGACATCAGTCCTTCTAATAAATATTCGGGGTTGATTTCTTTTAGGATTGACTAGTTTGATATTGCAGTCCAAAGAACTCCTAAGAGTCTTCTCCAGCACCATAATTTGAAAGCATTAATTCTTAGCATGCCTTTTTTTTTTTTTTGGTCCAAGTCTTGCATCCATAAATGGATACTAGAAAAACCATAGCTTTGACTTTATGGATCGTTTCTGGCAAAGCAATATTTTTGCTTTTTAATATGTTCTCTAGGTTTTTCATAGCTTTCCTTCCAAGAAGCAAGCGTCTTCTAACTTCATGGCTGCAGTTACCATCTGCAGTGATTTTGGAGCCCAAGGAAAAGCTAAGTCGTGCCTGACTCTCTGCAGCCCCACAGACTGCAGCATGCCAGGCTCCCCTGTCCCTCAGTATCTCCTGGAGTTTGTTCAAGTTCATGTCCATCGAGTCGGTGATGCCATCCAACCCTTGCTCTGCTGCCCTCTTTTCCTTTAGCCTTCAATCTTTCCCAGCATCGGGGTCTTTTCCAGTGAGTCGTCTCTTCCCATCAGGTGGCCAGAGTATTGGAGGGTCAGCTTTGACATCAGTCCTTCTAATAAATATTCGGGGTTGATTTCTTTTAGGATTGACTAGTTTGATATTGCAGTCCAAAGAACTCCTAAGAGTCTTCTCCAGCACCATAATTTGAAAGCATTAATTCTTAGCATGCCTTTTTTTTTTTTTTGGTCCAAGTCTTGCATCCATAAATGGATACTGGAAAAACCATAGCTTTGACTTTATGGATCGTTTCTGGCAAAGCAATATTTTTGCTTTTTAATATGTTCTCTAGGTTTTTCATAGCTTTCCTTCCAAGAAGCAAGCGTCTTCTAACTTCATGGCTGCAGTTACCATCTGCAGTGATTTTGGAGCCCAAGGAAACAGTTGCTGTTTCCATTGTTTCCCCATCTATTTGCCATGAAGTAATGGGACCTGGTGCCATGATCTTCATTTCTGAATATTAAGTTTTAAGCCAGCTTTTTCACTCTCCTCTTTTACCCTCATCAAGAGGCTCTTTAGTTCCTCTTCAATTTCTGTCAATAGAGTGGTATCATCTGGATATGTGAGTTTATTGATATTTCTCCCAGCAGTCTTGATTCCAGGTTGTGACTCATCCAGCCCAGCATTTCACATGATGTAGTCTGCATATAAGTTAAATAAGCGGGGTGACAATACACAGCCTTGTTGTACTCCTTTCCCAATTTTGAACAAGTTCATTGTTCCTTCTAAGGTTCCAACTGTTGCTTCTTGACTTGCATGCATACAAGTTTCTCAGGAGACTGGTAAGGTGGTCTGGTATTCCCATCTCTTTAAAAATTCTCTGATTTGCTGTGATCCACATAGTCAAAGGCTTTCTCATAGTCAATGAAGCAGAAGTAGATATTTTTCTGGAATTCTCTTGCTTTCTCTACGACCCAATTAATATTGGCAATTTGATCTCTGGTTCCTCTGCCTCTTCTAAACCCAGCTTGTACATCTGGAAGTTCTCAGTACACCTACTGCTGAAGCCTAGGCTGAAGGATTTTGAGCATAATCTTAAGAGTCCAGGCTACATGTTTGTAGAATGTGTTGTTATCTTGATCTGTTGATTTCTTTCCTCAAGTTTAAGTTAAAAGTAAATATTTTTTGACAATAATACTGCATAGGTGAGTTAAATGTTCTTGCTGTTGCTTTACATCCAGAGGCCTGAAAATGGCCATTTGTCCCATTATTGCTGAGACTGCATTTGAGCCTTTAATTAGGCTGGATCTCTCCTTGTAAAGGTACCTCCCCTACCCCCCATATACATATATGCAGTCCTCTCTCCCCTTCCTGCCATGGTAAACAAAATAATACTGCCCTCAGTCCATTACCTCTACAAATACCTATGTCCTTGTCCCTGGGACCTGTGAATATGTTAGGTTAAGGGACGGATAAGGGGAATGAAAGTAGCAGGTTGCTGACCAGCTCACCTGATTATGGGCAAATTATCCTAGATTATTACAGCAATCACATCAGTCCTTAGAAATCAAACACGGAGATAGAAGACTCAGAGGGAGATGTGACTAAGGAAGAATGGCTAACAAACTGTAACACTTCTGCTTTTCTTTTCTTTTTGATTGGAGGATAATTGCTTTACAATATTGTGGTTGTTTCTAAATCAATGTGAATCTGCTGTAGGTACACGTGTCCCCTCCCTAACCCTCCCTCCCACATCATTCCCCGTCCCCCCTCTAGGTTGTCAATGAGCACAGGGCCAGAGTTCCCTGTGTCACACAGCAAACTCCAACTAGCTGTCTGTCTTACACGTGGTAATGTATAAGTTTCAATGCTGCTGTCTCAAATTATCCCACTTCTCCCTCCCCCACTGTGTCCAAAAGTGTTTTCTACGATTGCATCTCCATTGCTGCCTTGTAGATAGATTCATCAGTACCAGCTTCTAGATTCCATATATATATGCCTTAATATGTGATATTGGTCTTTAAAAAGTGGAGAAAGGGAGTCACAAGCTAAAGAATGTAGGTGTTTTCTAGAAGCCAGAAAAGGCAAGGAAACAGATTTCCCGTAAGGTTTCCAGGAAGGAATTCTGATCCACTTGATTTGAGTCTAGTGGATCCCATGTCTGACTTATAATCTACAGAACTATAAGAAATTTGTGTTTACCTTTTTGATAATTTGCTGCAACTGTAACAGAAAACAATTACAGCCTCTAAAATTGCATCCAATTGGTTTAGCATGCATTGATGATTCTTGTCCTAAAAAATTCTTAGACTGGGAATTGTAATTGGTAGTATTTACTAAAAGTCTGTCAATCCTTCCTCATTTATTAGCTCCCTTGCTTCTCGTCTTAGTTCTTTCTTTCCTTCTTTCACTCTTAAGTATCATTATGGACTCATAGATCCTTTTATAAAATTATATTCAATATTATATAACTCATTATTTTCCTTATATTTTGATGCTTTAATTGTCCCAGATTTTACCAATGGTAGGCACTTAAAGTTGACTCCCATGCCCATCTAGCATAGCCTCATTAGTCTTAGAGCACTTTCTTGCTTTCCAGAATACAATATTTAGGGTTGATCTTGATCCTTTTTAATCCCAAATCTGAAATCCACCATTTTAAACAAAGAGGCCTGGTTTCATTTAATGAAGAATGGCATTTAGAAACCTGTGTGATGGGAGTTCCTTGGTAGTCCAGTGGTTAGGACTCTGGGCTTTCACTGCCATGGCCCTGGGCTCAATCCCTGGTCAGGGAACTAAGATCCCACAAGGGCAAGCTGCAGCCAAAAAAAAGCCTGTGTGATAAGAGGACTAATTTTTATTGAGACATTTTTATTGGTATCTTAATGTATATTCATCTTTTTAAAATTTAAGAGGAATTTGTTCTAGCTTATTCTGTGAACTATTGATGTATTTTGCCCATTTTTTTTTAATGAGTTTGGCTTGTTTTTCTCATTTTGAATTCTTTGTATCCTCACTGCATGCAGATTCTTTACCGTCTGAGTCACCAGGGAAACCCAGTAATAGGGGAATTAGCCTTTCATTTGTTGAACATATTGCAATTGTTTTCTCCCAAATTTTGATCTATTCTTTGATATGATTCTGCAATGCAAACTTTTTTTTAATTTAGTAGAATTTATTTTTTTTAATTGCATCTGAATTTTGACTTAGGAAAGCTTTGCTCACATCCAGGTTGTAAAGTAATTTACTTATGTTTTATTCTAGTACTTAAACATCAGGTTTTACATTTGGATCTCTTGTCCATTTAGTATAAAGTATGAGTCAAAATGACCATTTTTCAGATGCCTCTTGTATGTCTATTTTAAAGTTCATCTTTCCCACCAGCCACTTGATATATGCCTTCTTTGTTATTCACTAAGCTGCTACATGTTTTTGGAGTCTGTTTTTGCACTTCCTATTCTGTTCTACTGGTCAGTCTGTCAATCATATACCAATACTGCATAATTTTGAGTTTTGATAATATGTTTTATATATTAGGGCTATTCAACCCTTACTCTTTTTAAAATGAAGTTTCCTAGATATACATATGTTTGGTTTTAGACATGTTAGATTTAACAGATCTAGCTCCCAGAAAACTCATTGGTGTGCTTCTGGGTACTGCATGAAATTCATATTAAATTCATATATTCTCTTAGGGACAATCACTATGTACATGAGGGCTTTACATCCTCTTCAAGATGAAGAAATGCCTTTTTATTTATTCAGATTTTCTCATCATTTTTGCATGTTGTTCCTCAGTTTATTCTTAAGGATTTTATCTACTTGCCTGTTGTGAGTATTATTTTCTCATTGCAGAGAGGTCATTTTACTATTGTTCCAGTCCTGGGCCTCTATTTCAGTGGTTTTCAGTCTTTTAAAGCACATTAGAACCATCTAGGAAACTTAACATTCTTAGAGCCTAGGTATATTACAAACCAATTAAATTACAATTTCTGAGTGTAAAAGCAGAGCTCTCAGTGTTTATAAAGGTCTTCAGGTAATTTTGATGTAAAATAAAATTTGAGACTTGCTGACTGACTTTGCAGGTTTGATATGAAGTGAAGGAAATTAAAGGATTTTACAGTCCCAGTTATCACTGATGAATTTTTGTTTGGTTCATAAATATTTGTAATTGTTATATAGTCATTGTGAATTGATGTTCTTAGTGTTATAAAAGCTTTAGTCACGATTGCTGATTTTTGGTCTGATATCTCCCCTATTTATTCCCAGTGTTGCCATCCCTGCTTTCTTACTGTTTGTATTTTCATGGTATACATTTGCCCAACCTTTTATTGTTAGCATTTTAGAACTATTTTTAACTTTTGTTTTTTTTGCATTTAGCATATAATAGGGTTTCGCCTTGTGAATCAATCTAAATTTTAAAAATAGGTGAAATAAGCCAGCTTTGTGGTATTTATACCACAGAATGTTTGGTCTCCATTTGATCATTCTTTTTATGTTTTATATTGCATATATTTACATATTATAGGCTATATTTACTGTTTTTCTTTCCCTCTGTATTCTATTTTCTTTGTCCCTTTTTCTAGAGTGCTCTGTTTATTAGGAAGATCTGTATTTTTGTACTACTGCCTAGTTACTATTCCTGCTCATAATTTGTATGATATTCTTAGTCCTCTTTTCCCTTATTTAGATAAATTTATCTTTGGATAACTTTAAGTGGTATCTTCAACTCCTACTTATTATGTGAGAATCAATGAGCTTATCTAATTTTTCTGTCTCTTTCCTCCTCTGATTCTTTGTTGAATTATTTTTACTAGGTTAGAATTTGTAACACTTATACACTTGTCTTCTACCTTGGTCCCCCACATTTGCTTTAACCTTAGTTCTGCAATTAAGCATATTCAGTGCCCACGGTTAGCCCTATGAATGACATCCCCTCTGTCGTGTCTTGATCGAATAAACCCTGTCCTCTCATAGAGCCTCTCTCTGCTCATGAGGACAGCATTCGCTGTCTGCAGGTTAATACTGTCTGTAGCCTGTCATCTGAAGAAGAGCCTGACTGGATAAAAGATTCTTGGCTCATACTTTCTCTTTGGAGTTTCTTTAAGCTATTGTTCTCCAGGTGTCTTGCTTTATGTATGTTATTGTTAAAAAGTCTGATGTTAACATGATTTCATTAATGTAAATTAGTCTTTTTACCTGGAAAGGCAGAAGATTTTATTTTAGCTGTTTAATAGTTTTACTAGACTATATCTTATAACTGACTAGCTTAAATTATTTTTGCTTTTCTTCTTGAACTGTTGTCACTGTTCAGTCGCTAAGTCATGTCTGACTCTTGGCGATCCCATGGTTTGCAACACACCAGGCTTCCCTGTCTTTCGCTATATCCCAGAGTTTGTTCAAATTCGTACATTATCTGTAGTTATGTATATGTTGCATAGCCTGTATCTTTGTCTTTGATTCTTTTTCTTTTTTTAATGTTCCATCTTTTGCCTATATTTATCTTTTGCCTATATTTATCTTTTATTCCATATCCAAAGTTACATCCTCAGTTGAATCTAGTTTCCTTTGGACATCTTGTAATTTAGTCTTTATTTCCAAGTTGATTTTATATTTTTCTTTTTTGAGTTTAGGTACATATCTTGTGTCTATGTGTGTAGTATATGTGTGTATGCCCATTGATGGAGGTGAAAGAGGAGAATGAAAAAGCTGGCTTAAAACTCAACATTCAAAAAACAATCATGGCATCTGGTCGTGTCACTTCATGGAAAATAGATGGGGAAAAAGTGGAAACAGTGGCAGATTTCATTTTCTTGGTCTCCAAAATCACTGAGGACAGTGACTGCAGCCCTGAAATTAAAAGATGCTTGCTCCTTGGAAGAAAAGCTATGACCAACCTAGACAGCATATTAAAAAGCAGAGACAATACTTTACTGACAAATGTTCATATAGTCAAAGCTATGGTTTTTCCAGTAGTCAGGTATGGATGTGAGAGTTGGACTATAAAGAAAGCTGAGTGCCAAAGAATTGATGCTTTTGAACTGTGGTGCTGAAGAAGACTCTTGAGAGTTCCTTGGACAGCAAGGAGATGAAACCAGTCGATCCTAAGGGAAATCAGTCCTGAATATTCATTGGAAGGACGGATGCTGAAGCTGAAGCTCCAGCTCCAATACTTTGGCCACATGATGCAAAGAGCTGACTCATTAGAAAAGACCCTGTTGCAGGGAAAGAGTGAAGGCATTAGGATGGGCTATGATAGAGGATGAGATGGTTGGATGATATCACTAAGTCAATGGAGATGAGTTTGAGCAAGCTCCAGGAGATGATGAAGGACAGGGAAGCCTGGCATGCTGTAGTCCATGGGGTTGCAAAGTGTCAGATACAACTGAGTGACTGAACAACAACAATGCCCATTTTGATTCTTCATTTTTGAGTTTCTAATCTGACATATTTTATTTGATATACAAATGCTTGCTTAAGAATATTTAGTCAGATTGTGGTGGTGCATTGTAGTTTTTATCTGCTAACATCTTTTGATTCTTTTTCTATTTATAATACCTTTGTACGGATGCTGTCTGCCAACTTATGCTAATTTTGAAATGACTTCTTTTTCTCTGTATCAGCGTTAATGAGGTATGAAGGCAGGGGTGAAAAGTATGTTTGGCCTACAGCATCTCTTAGTGTGTGGATGCCCTTATCTTTGTATACTGCATTGTCATTTTAAAATTAGTAGTGCTTGATTTGGGTTGGTGAGGGACATTTTATTTTCTACGATTTTTAAAAAAAAAATTTCTGTAAACCTCGTTCTTTTCTTTTCTTTCACGCTAAATCCTCCAGTGGTGCTCCTACCTTCCTAACTCATCTGTGGTTCTCTGCAGTGGGGCCCTTGCAAGGTTTTCATCTCTGCTCTAACAGATTCTCTTAAGTCTTTGCCTGTGGTCTTTAGTGGTCCGTGTCTCACACCACCAGGTCTCATGTTCTCAGTGTTCTAAGATAGCATTTGGGGTGTAAGCCTTTCTTCCCAGGGGGTAATTTTAATCTGTCATCTTGTCTTACAAAGCCTCTGATGCCTTCCCAAGCCTGCACCCCCTCCACACCCACCCCCACCCTCCCATGACTCTGCCACCTGTCTTCTCTGGGGTGAGCTCTAGAGCTTGCTCTGCTACATGCAGGTGTTGATTTCTCTACGGACACTTAACAAAGGTCTATGTAGTTTGATCCCATTTCAGGCTCTAAATATGGGTTCTGAGCAGCTTTGCCATACTTGCTAGTCTGAATGTTTTATGGAGGAGGTGGAGAGATAACAGTAATTAGGTAAGCCACATTTCCCTCTGAGAACTTATCTACCCCGACAATGTTTTAAATTCCTATGGTATATGTTTCTCATAGTATTGTGACATAAAATACTTACTTTGTTCAATGAAAGCTGAGGCTTGAAATGTTAAGTGAATTCTTCAATGTTATACAGCTACATGTAGCAGAGTAATTCAAATTGAAATTGGGATTTCCTAAATTCAAGCTGAGTTTTTCATACCACCATTCTGCTATACTGTAACAATTTACTGCAGTTCTTCCTGGAAAGAAGTAAAAGAAATACTTTCTAGAACACTCTCCAAGTAGCCTCCAAGAAAAGTATTAAACTTTTAAACTTTATTAAAGTTAACTTTATTAAACATTAAAACTCTTTTTAATGCAAGTGGTGTGGATATTGTCCTATCTAAGAACTATAGCTACAAGTCAGTAAGACTGAACAATGCAATGAGGTTAAACTGTGAGAGACAATATTAAGAAGTCAGTGTAATCTTACCTCAGTGATCACTTTCAATCCCACTTCAATGCGTGACATTACAGTGGACAGTTGTAGAGATGCTGATAAAACACCATAGCTTATCATCAAGAATCTCTGCTAAGTAACATATAGAAACAATCAGGGAATATGACAAAAAGAAGAAAGATGTTTGACACCTGAATTTTGTGTTTAATAAAGGAAGTTGTGTTGACCAGATAAATTTACCAGACATTTTTGATGCTAAATGTTCATACTGTTAGGAAGACAAAAAATAAATTGAAAAATTACAGAATTAAATCCTATTTCCATCTCTAATACTAACTACATTCACTTGAGTAAGTAACTTGATTTCCTTGTACCTCAAAGGTACAAGATGGCTTCATAGTTTGGAACTATGAAGGGAGTAGCTTTGCTAATCTCTACATTGATCAGACCGTTCTGTATGACCTGTTCTGAGTGATGATTTTAGGAGAGACAGTGGAAAGCTGAAGTGCATCTGGAAAGGGTTAGCATCTGGAAACCATGTCATTTAAGGAACCATTAAAGGACCTGCTTGTGTTTGGTGGTATTAAAAAATATTTGGAGTATAGTACAGATTCTTTCAGTATTTGAAGAATTTGAAGACCTCTAGAAGGCAGATCAAACTTCTACTGTGAAACTCCCTAGAAAATCTCAGGTCAGCAAAATGAGATTTGTGGTGCTGGCACCATTTAATGAAGTTTTCTAACAATGAACATTTCCCAAATGAAATATACAGCTTTTTAAATGATGACTCCCCTATGGTGCCTTTCTGCCCCACTTTCCCCCACCCCACCGCACCCCCAACCTTAAAGTGCTTGGCAGAGTTCAGATAATTACCTCCCGGGAACTTATTTGAAACCTTCCGGCATTATGTGAGCTAGACATTTTCTAAGACAGTTGTGACATAAGAAATGTGTATTTGGTCTCTGACCTCAGTTGCTGACAGAGAGCTTCTAAAACTCTTGTAATTTCCTGAATGACAGGAAGGCTCGGAGCATCATATGTTCTAATATTTAGTCTTTGACCCCAGTTCCTGACACAGAGCTCCTAAAACCCTTTTAATTTCCTGAGTGATGGGGGTGATAGGGTCTTACACAGAGCTCCTACTTCCCTTGGTATTTCTTGGGTGATAGGAGAATTTTTTGTTCTAATGAGGCCCCTCTTGGTGGACTCCCGGAGACCTTTAGGATGGGCGTGGTCACCAGAAAGACCAAGCCATGATGAGAAGCCTGGAACTTTCAGCCTTACCCACCCCCATCCCCCGGGAAGGGAGATGGCCTAGAGATCGAGTTAATAAATGATCATGCTTATGTGATGATGTGTCTATAAAAACCCCTGAACTATGGGGTTTGGAGGACCTCTGAGCTGATGAATACATCCAGGCGACATCATGCTTGTATACCCTGTTCCCTGTAGGGACAGAAACTGCTGTGGTTGGGACCCTGCTAGACTGTGCGCTATGTACCCCTTCACCTGCCTGTTCACCTTTATCCTTACAATGAGTAAGTACTAGTAAATAAAGATTGCCCTGAGCTGTGTGAGCCATTATAACAAATTACTGAAGCTGAGTGGGGGCGGTGGTGGGAAACCCCAACTTTGTCACCAGATTGGGGCGGAAATATGGGTTCCCTGGGACCCACTGCCTGTAACAGAACATGAAGTGAGGACACTCTTTTGGGACTGAGTCTTAAAGCTATAGAGTCTGGCACTGACTCCAGGGAATTAGTGTCTGAATTGAATAAATTACAGGGCACCCAGTTGTTGGAAGAGTAGTTGGTGTAGGGAGAAAGAAATACCGGCATCTGGTGTCAAGTGTTATAAGTTAAGAAGTGACTCTCCTTTAACAGCGGTTTCTAAGCATGACTCGGTCAGAATGGTGGTTCTGTTGCCCAGTCGTGTCCAACTCTTTGTGACCCCATGGACTGCAGCACGCCAGGCTTCTCTGTCCCTCATCATCTCCCAAAGTTTTCCCAAGTTCATGTCCATTGCATCGGTGATGCCATCCAGCCATCTCATCCTCTGATGCCCTCTTCTCCTGCCCTCAATCTTTTCCAGCATCAGGGACTTTTCCAATGAGTTGACTGTTCGCATCAGATGAGCAGACTACTGAAGTGTTGAGATAATTCTTAGATACAGAGTCTGGAAACATAGTCCATAGACTCTACTTCAGTAAATATAAGGCAAAGTTTACAAATCTGTCTTAAAATTGCTACTTGTTCTCTCAGCCAGCTGATGCCTAGTAGGTACATTGTTGGAAACTGGCATAGATAACTTGTAAACATCACAGCTGCTTGTCCTATGGAGTCAGACTCATGAGTTAGACAAATATTAATCTAGAGATCATACCCTTGATACAAAGAATATTAAGATAAACTCAAATAAGTGATCTGAAGAGGAGAATGTGTCTCAGCCTGAAGGCTCAGAGAAGGCTGCACTGAGGAACAGAACAGTTGGCTAAGACTTGACTGGTGAGACCAAGTTATTCAAAAAGCTTCATGATGGTGAGAGGGCATTCTGTGTAGAGCTACAGCGTGTGCAAAGGTTGAATGGCTAAAATGAGAACAGGCTGTTGGAAGGACAGAAGGAAGAGAAAAGGAAACGGTGGCTGGATCGTCAGAGAGTGAGAAATGGGGTAAGGACTGAGATGTAGGCAGGGCTAACCCATTAGGAGCCACGAATGCTGTGTTGTGGATGTTGGTCTGACTCCTGAGAGCAATGGAAAACCACTGCTGGAATTTTAGCATTTTGACTGGAATGTAGCTGTTAAGTACCCTGATCAGAGATGCATTTTTAAATGATAATCCTGGCTACTTTGTCAAAAGTAACTCGGCAGTGCAACAGAACAAATATTAGAAGTTACAGTATCAAGGACAAGGACAATGGGGAACTAAGGGGGGAAACAGTATTAATATATTTGGGAGCTATTCAGGTTAAACAGGACATTGCAATAGATCTGACTTGCGGTGAGGGTTAAGGTATTCTCAGTCAATTCCTAAGTTCGGGGCTTGTGCAAGTGAATGGAGGGAAGTGAGATTCACTGGCATAGGGCCATTGAACAATGATATGGTGAGGACATGATGACTCGTTCTGGAATATCTTGAGATTTGAGGTGCATTTTAGATACCAGAATGGACCTGATCAGCAAGCTGTGGTGTGTATCTGGAGGTCTGAAAACAAGCAAGACTGCATGGTTCCATACCAGAGCACCCTGTATAGAAAAAGGACGAATAGAAATAATTCACAGGTAACAGTTCTCACAATTTGATTATCAGTGTAAGTCACTCAGTCGTGTCCGACTCTTAGTGACCCCATAGGCTGTAGTCCACCAGGTTCCTCTGTCCATGGAATTCTCCAGGCAAGAATTCTGGAGTGGGTAGCTCTTCCCTTCCCCAGGGGATCTTTCTGAACCAGGGATTGAACTCATGTCTCCTGCACTGCAGGTGGATTCTTTACTGCCTGAGTCACCAGAGTGTGGGTAATGTTAAATATCAGGCTTATTGGCAACCACCCTGCTGGTGTCATCTATTAATTAAATGAGACACAATTTTAAAGAACTCAGGTAAGGCCCAAAGCCTTTAGAGTTGTGATTCACATGTTTGGCTATGTCTGCAGTTGGACTACAGGGAAGTGTGTGGGTTTTTTTTTGGGGGGGGGATTTGTTTTTGATAACGAGAGAGCATATACACTCTTGTGGGAGCTGAAATGACTTCAAAGAACTCTTCACCCATCTTTCTCCATTTCTGCAGGACAGAAGGCAGGAGTGTGGAGAGTGAGTGAATAGGATGTGTAAGGTGAGAAAGCAGTCCAATTAAACTGCAGGGGAGGAGGCTGATGGAAGTGAACCACACACATACCTCACACAATCTCTGGTTACCAAGTAAGTTTAAAATGAATTGGAAAAAATACAATAAGAAAAAGGCAGCACACAGCTATTTAGGGTTTTCCTCTCTGACCATTTCTCTATTTATTGGCTGGCAATCTGTGACAAAATGTGCTTCTGTTCACACCATTCCCTCATAAAATTTTCACTGGCAAAATAAACATTGATTAAATTCAGAGAAGCATTTAATTAGAACGCTAGGACATTTCTGGAGGGAGTCCGTTCCATGAGTTCCCTGGGCGGTTGACTGCAGAAGGGAACGAGACGGCTGCTCTGTGGCAGATCGTTCATGGCTTACTGTGACTGACGAGATGATCATCCCACTGGTCTTTACCAGGAAAGGCTAGTTGGCTGACCCCAAACTGAAGGACACTGGAAAGCCTATCACAACAATTGTTTCTGGGCCTCAGATCTGCCATATTTGCTTTCTCTTCCTTTTCCCAATTTTGAATATTTATAGTAATTTGTATGGTATGCATGCCCTTGAGAGTTAATCATCTCAAATCCTATTAGGAAAGTGACACTCTGCAAACATAATGGGTACAAGATGGGCCAAGGCTGCTGTGAGTATTCACTGCACATGCAGGTAAAGCTGCTGCTTCAGTCATTATCTGGAAAGTAAATTAGTCACCAGGCTTCCCGGTGGCTCAGTGGTAAAGAATCTGCCTGCCAGTGCAGGAGATGCAGGAGACCTGGGTTCAATCCCTGGGTCAGAAGATCCCCTGGGGGAGGAAATGGCTACCCACTCCGGTATTCTTGCCAGGAGAGTTTCATGGACAGAGGAGCCTGGCAGGCTAGTCCGTGCAGTCCCCAGCTGTTGGACATGACTGAGTGACTCTCACTTTCCCGGTGGAGCCTCAGGTGGACCGTGAGTCACTGCAGGGCCACCATGACGCAGGTCTGCCTTGACATTGAGGCTGTGGATCAGCCCTGAGTTGCCTCCCTGACTGCCCTGCAGGTACTGACGGAGCCCTCACTGTTCTCACTCCTCATCTCTGACGTGCAGTTGGCAACCTTATCTGTGAGGCTCTGCCTAGATTCTCTGCGAGGCTGACCTCACCCCTTGGCAGATAAGAAGTGTGTCTTTGAATTAGAAGATCTGAAAATGCCGTCAAGATGTACTCCTGTGATCCCTTAATATACTTTAAGCCGGGGTCCCGTCTAGTGTCTCTCGGACACCATTTCCCATACGCACTGCAGTGGTAGCATGTTCTTCAAAGTGCTC